TCAACCCAGACAGTCTGACACCACAGCCTGTGCACTTAACCGCTATCCTACCTGGCCTTCAAATGAATGTCACATTGCAACTATAACACATGCCACCCAGAGAGGTTTGGGGGGTGCAGACATGCCCTGCCCCTTCTGCCCCTGGACCTTGGCACGTGCCGTTTCCTCTGCCTAAAACACCCTTTCTCCCTTTTCTTCCCAATTCACTTCTGTTCGCCCTTTGGACCCTAACATTTGGAAAGTGTCCTTTCCTAAGGGACACTTTCTCTGCCCTCCCCAGACCCTCCAGATTCATTTCAAACTCTTACTGCATGATGTACTTTTCCTGAGGACACTTCACATCGTAGTTACATATTTGCTGATTCTCTCTGTTTTCCCCACTGTCCCCTCCCCACTGCCATTGCACCTGAAATGCTGCAGGAGGAACCGATACACCAGTATTGCTCAGTGCCTAGTACAGTGCCTGCACATAGTAGGTACTTAATAAATACCTGAAATAATAAATGTTGAATTAATTGATGGCTTGATTGATTGACTTACCTCAAGGTAGCGTCAAGGTCTCCACCAGCCCTAAGGCTCCATGGCTGTGAGGTTTTCTCCGTCTCTCTCTGGTCTCCTGCCCTCCCCAAGAACCCCTGCCCCACAGAGCTCTTGCTCCCGAAATCCCCAACCAGCCTGAGGCCCCTGAGGGAGGGACCGTGGTGCTGCCAGGTCAGAATCTGCTCATGCAGGAGACTGGGGGGTCGGGGTGGGGGACTGGCCACCTTATAGACACCCCGTAGTTTTCCAGGACCCGGCCTGGGAATAAGAGGTTTCCCAGGACAGACGCAGGAGTCAGGGAATGGAGCAGAGCCTGGGAGGAGGGGCCCAGACCCCGGACATCCTGTCTTGATGGCCAGAGATGATCTTTAAACCCCTTAAAAACTGGAGCCATGAAGGCGGCTGTACCACCACCCCCAAGTGCTGTGGTCTGGAGTCAGGAGCCAGCGAGATCAATATCGTTCAGGAGGTTTTCAGTTCCAAGTCCTTTCTGCTGCCAAGTCTCCCCAGAGGCCTGAGAAAATGGTGTGGAGGAGGCAAGAGGCACAAGAAAAGGAAAGAAAGTGACTATTTAAGGGCCTACAGCCCGGCGGCAGACGTGTTCTCAATCCTCACGCCAGCCCTGCAGGGCAGGTGTTATCCCATTTGACAGATGAGGAAACTGAGACCCAGAAACAGAAAAAGTTTTCCAAGGTCCCAGCAAAGCCAGAACCAAACCCAGCCATGCCTGGTTCTGAGGCCAGCCCCCTCTAAGGCAGCTCACACATGAGAGGGCTCATGGCTCGTCGGCCGGAAGGCACAGTCACATCACACTCGGGGCTTAGGTCAGACGAAGGGGCTCTCCTAGGCTGTGCCTGCAGCCAGACCCAGGATGGCGGCTAGGCAGGGCCCTCTACAGGCCTTCTCTCCAACGTGTGTGGGGGCAGGACGCTCACTCCTCCCAAAGCTTCACTTTCCGTTACCAGCAGCTCCTTTGCCTCTGACCTCAGCTGGGACAGCATGCAGCCCAGAAAGTGCTGACGCTCATCTCCGAGAGGCCGTGGAACGTTGGACAGCCAGCATCCCTTCCTCCCATGCCTTCCTTTTGTCCAAGCCGAGCTCTCCCGTCTTTCAGGCTCCTCCCACCGGCCCTTTTCCACTGACTCCAGCTTGGCCACATCCCACTTACAGTGGGCACTAGGCCTCCTAGTGGGTCCCATACGCTGAACTCCTGGGGGGTACTGTCTCCCCTCCTCTGTTTGTGGCACTCCGCTAATTAGTGCAGCCAGGGTTTGGCCTGCTGTGAGCAATTGCCGGCATAATACCCCTGGGGCTGAGTCAGCCAGAATGATTGGCAGGACGAAGGTAGGAAATGAGATGCCTTCAGGGAGACACAGCACCGCCACGGCGCTGGGTCTCATGTGTGTGTGTGCGCGCGCGCGCACGCATGCATGTGCACGCCCACGCGTATGGTTCGAACCTACTATCAACATTTTTAGAACCAGCCATATTCTTTCTATATTTCATATTGGCTAGAAACTGCTAAGACTAATAAAAAGTCATTTTCACCAACCAAGGAAAATCGGTTCTTTAAAAGAGAAAGGCAAAATTCAATTTAACACCTACGAGGAGAAATTTCAGAACCCCTTCTCCACATCATGTCTATAGGTCCCAGGTGGCATGTCACCTAGAGAGACTACAACAGCTCCTCCTTCCTCAAGGAGCTCTGCCCTTGTGTTGGGTGGGGCTGAACCCCACCGGGGCGCAGGAGGAGACATTTGGACTCCACTCCTGAGGGAAGACAGCATTCTCCCACCCTGAGAAGGAGGGACATGGGAAAGGGCTGGCAGTGGGGACACCCGAGCCAAAGCAGAAGGGACTTCTCCTCCTAGTGTGCCTCCAGCGCATGTGGGCCTGTGGGCCTGTGCGCCTGCACACACACACCGCCACGGAAGATTCGATCTGAGGAAAGTTCTTCCACAGTCATCCTGGGACCTGGCTGCCCACAGAATCCCCCGGGGAGAGACAAACTCCCAGTGCCTGGCCGGACCTCAGACTGATTCTCTTGGAACCTGAAGGTGGCACTCAGGCCTTGGTATTTTCAGCCAAGTTTGAAACCCTCTGAGAGACTCCTCACCTCTAGCCCACCCATCTCCTCCCTTCGCTCCTCCTGCCCTCACCTCAGCTGATGCTCCTGCCTCTTCTGAGGTGGAACTCTGCGCACACCACACACATCTGCTGCAGCCAGGCTTCCTGCTTGCCAGGGCCAGGCCCCGCCCCTACCTGGCCCGGGTCAGCCCTGGGTTACGGGCTACAGAGACTCCAGTATCCCATCAGCAGAGCAGGCCCCGAGGGGAGGCCCAGGAGCATGACTCTCCAGGTGACCCAGATAAGAGCACTCTTGGCCCCAATCTTTCAGGTTTTGCCGAGGTGAGGACGGGCTGGGTTCCAGTCCCAGCTGTGTGAAACTCATCTCAGGCCCTGGGTTCCAGTCCCAGCTGTGTGAAACTCACCCAGGCTGCTCTGAAGTCCGTGTGTGCAGGTTTCCTGGGGGTCTTGTTAACATTCAAGCTCAATATATCATGACCATTTACCTCCCTAACCTAAAGCCCTTTCACTGCAGCCCTCTGCCAGTCAGAGGCGATGTGACCTCTCACGCACGGCCTGTTTCCTTATATGTCACTCAAGTCTAATGACACCTACCCCATGGTTTTATTGAGATTAGACATGACAGTGCCTGGCACATAGTAGGTGTGCAACATATGTTCCTCGTCCACCGCAGGCGGGGGCTATGGTTCCGTGTGTTTGTGCCCCTTATAGCGGCAGTTCTCAAAGTACAGCCTGGAGACCCTGGGAATCCAGGAGATCCTTTCAGGGGTTGTACGAAGTCAAAACTACTTTTTAATGATACTAAGCCGTTGTCTTTTTCACTCTCATTTTCTCAGAGGTACTTCTGTGCTGTCTTTACAAAGTGGATACGGAAGCAGGTATCCACTAAGCCGGGCATGAAAGGGGCTTTTAAAAAATGCAGAACAGTGTTCTCACCCAATCTCCGTTGTTTTAGAAAATGTCCTTTTTCATTAAAATGCTATTCATGTTAACATGGAGTAAGTTTAATATCGCTATGGAAGTAAATCGATAAACATGTTTCAAATGTTCTGTTTTAATTTGTAATATGGCAAATATGGAAAGATATGATTCGTATGAACAAAAGCTCTTTGGTCCTCGGTTCTTGAGAGTGTAAACGCATCATGAGTCCTAATGGTTTGAGAAGGCTGCGTGCTTCATCGTTCCGGCTGCAGAGGGGTGTCAGCACGCGCACACTCAAAGCAGCCCTCTGAGCCACCTTCCCAGCTGTGCCGTAAGCTCAGTGGGGAACTGGAGCTATGTCATGTGAGCATTTTAGATCTCCCAGGGCACTCTGCACGGTGCTCGGCCTGCCTAAGTGGGTACCACCCTAAACTTTCTGAATTGCAAAAAATTTACCCAGGACCACTGGGCCTGGGCACAGGTGAGCTACACACGTGAGCCACATCTGAGGGGCGCCCCTGCATTTTGTCTGGCAGCCTCTACTCTCCTTTTCCTCTGAAAAACCTCAGCCCACCAAGGACCAATCACGGCCCCGTTCTCAGTCTCCATGGTTCAGAAGGTGACCCAGATCCAGAGAGAGTGGCTGGTTGAGAGTTAGTCATACGACTAAGCAGGGTCTGTCAGAGCCAGTGAGTCTTTGTCCCAGGTTTCTGTTGAAAACACTGGGAGAAAAGACGACTCTGTCAACTGGAGCTGCCGCACTCCATGATGACAGCCTAGAGCACCTAATGAGGCCGCCACTGGAATAGAACTTGCCTGGGAATCAGCCAGCGCAGAACCAAATAATGGAGACCAATTCCTGAGTCTACTATTTGAGCCCTTGGATCCAGCTGTGCCTGGACGTCTTGGTCACGTGTGCAATAAAATGCTAATAAATTCTTTTTTGTTTCCTTAAGCCCGGGGTCCCCAACTCTGGGGCCACAGACCAGTACCGGGCCACACAGCAGGAAATGAGCGGTGGGCAAGTGAGCGAATCTTCATCTAGGGCCACACAGCAGGAAGTGAGCGGTGGGCAAGTGAGCGAACCTTCATCTACATCTGTATTTGCAGCCGCTCCCCAGCACTAGCATCACCGCCTCAGCTCCGCCTCAGATGCTCAGGCCTTAGATTCTCATAGGAGCACCGATCCCTGGTGCCAGAAAGGCTGTGGACCACTGCCCTAAGCCAATGTGAGTTGAGTTTCTCTTCTAGCAGAAAGAGCGCAGACGGGAAACTCCTGGTAATCAGAACCAAGAGTCCGGTGGTGGAGAATCCACTGGGGAGGTCTGGGGTAAGTCGTGCAGCAGAGGCATCCCGAAGCCACATATCCAGGGCCTTGGTAAGCCCCTCTTTTGCCCACCAGAGACCTGGCAAACCCCTTTCCAAACAACACAGCTGAGATAACAGCACAATTTTTCTTTCACTTTGTCGTTTATAAAGCCATACAATGGATCGCAAAGAAACAAAGCAGCTGTACAGGAGGAGTAAGACAGCATCAGTGTACAATACATTCATATCCAGGATAAGTAGCATACATCAGGGTTTATACAAGGTGGCAGAGGTTATAGGCACGATGATACAAAATAGAAAGTATATTTCCATCTATATAAATACACAGCCAGGGGACGGGGCGGATGCGGGGTTATTCTGTTTTTCCTGCAGAGGGCCTGGGAGGCAGGGGTGGGGTAGGGAGTGGGAAGGAATTTTTTACATTTGTTTTGAATGACATGTCAGAGAGGGGAGAGAAACGGGGAAACGGAGCATGTGGACACAGATGCGCTCCTCACACACACACCAAACATAGACACAGGAGAGTCTCAAACTGTTTAACGGTGATTAGAAAACAAACTTGGGACATCCCTCTACAATTGCTCACCGCTGGGAAGAGCCCAGTGTGGAAAATAAACAGAGGTCATCTAACATGGGGGACATCTGAGGACAAAGGAACCCCACCCCTTGTGGCTAATACCCCCATCTCCAATACTGAGTTTCTACCAGTCAGTGTCCTATAGACTCACCTCTTGATTCTTTTTGCCACTGGGTGATAATGAACTTGACATTCTATTGCCCATCTCCTCCAACCCAACCCCTAAGTTCCCGACAGAAATGAGCATAATACGCACACACATACACCCACACTTGCACGTGCACACACACGTCCTGTGTTACCACTGGCCAGGGGGCTCTGTCTCAGGATTCCAGGGTATGAACCTGGGTGAAGGGTGACCCCAGGGCTCCGCCTCTGACCTCTCCAAGGACCCCGAGTATGGGGGATGTAGGGACAGGAGGCAGTCTTTGGATAAGGTATTGGCCCACGTGATCTCCCCAGGTCCTAAAGCTGGGAAAAACCAGGAGGCAGGGTGGTGGCAAATGTCCGGGGCATATGTCGTTCACCTGCAGACTCCTCTGTGTCCCCTGGGCAGCATGAGGAGCCTGGGGCAAACGAATGCCCTATCCATCTCCCTCCTGGGAGCCCCTTTATGAAAGAATCACGCCTGTCAAGCTGGCTACCTCCTCTTACGATCACATGGCCACCAGGCCCCACTACCCCTGTCCTGCCAGTCTCTGACACACGCAGGGGCTCCTCAAAACCCAGTGGAGAAGGAATCCTGGCAGTCCACAAGCTTTTGTAGCTAGCTGCTGCGAGAGAGGCTCCAATGAGGACTGGGGTCAAAAGGCCTTTCTGAAACCGAGGACACAGTGTGTCAGTCCCTGAAACACCTGGCTAGATGAGGGAGCCAAAACGCGGTGATCGGTGATCGCGGGGCAGGCGATTCCAGTTACCCTGGAAGTTGATTAAACAGCTCACTTCCTCCCCATTTCCCCTCTGAGGTCACCTCTCCATTGTTCCCATGCCCAGTCCTCCCCTCTTGTTCCACCTGGGAAGAGCCACGTGGACCTCACTGGGCCTCTCCCCCTGTGGAATTGGAGGGCCTGCCAACTGGGGCTGGGGCTGGGGCTGGGGCCGGAGCCTGCCTGGGGCTGCATCGCTGTGTCTCAAGCTGACCATGTCTCCTCTGCTCTTTCTTGCCAACTTCCCCCAGACCCTTTCCCACCCCTGACTCCCCAGCCTCTTCTCAAGACCAGACAGCCCTCTCCTGGCTGACAAACAGAGTCAACAAAAAACAGCAAAACTGTTGGAGGAGGAGGAGAGATACGGATAAACATTTACACGATAAAAACAATTATTAAAAGTGCTTTCTTTTAAAGGAAATCTTTGGCAAGAATATACTGCAGTGCTGTGGGGGGTGTGTGTGTGTGCGCGCATGTGTGCGTGTGTGCGTGTGTGTGTGTGTGTGTGTGCACGCATGGGTGCACAGGCCTAACCTGTGAGACATGGGAGGGCTACAGTGTCTTCCCAACCAGTGTCTGACCCAAAGTGGGGGGCTACCGTGGAGACTGAGGTGCCCTTCCCCATCATTCTTCCGGAAAGGCCAAGCTCCAGGAAATCGACTCCTTCCAAAGCAACAGCAGGGAGTGAGTCGATCAGCTTCCTGGCACCCCAAGGGTCACACTCAGCTCAGGCCTGGGTGGGGTGCTCTGGCCGTGCCTGGGAGATGGGCCGTGGTGGGCAGTGGGAAAGCACGTGAGAAGGCTGACCCCAGGCCTGGGTCCGCAGAACGGTCTCACACGCCACCCGGCCTCAAGTGTGGCGAGGACATCCAGACCAGGAGAGTGTCCCCGGGCTGTCCCGTGGGAGGGTAAGATATGTACAAAGGGAGGAGGCAGGATATCTCCCACCTGGGAAGAGAGTCGGGGTAGGAGGGACTGAGGAGAGGGAATTCCGGATATCTGGCTTGAACGCCCTCAGAAGGAAGAGCACTGTGGAGGAGCCTGGTCACCAAGCACAAGGTTTCAATCTTTGGGAAGTGGGGGCTGCCCCCACTTTAGACACTCTATAGACACTCTCCTGAAACAGAAGGCCCACACAGACACAGCTTCTCGGAGGAGAAAAAAATACAAAAGATGCACACATTGCCCAAGCCAGCCACAAACACGCATGTCCCCCGCCGGCCCGCTGGGGCCGGAGCCGCAGTAAGCAGACAGCTCTCTTCTCATCTCGGGAGCTGATGGCTGAGTCCTGGGCTTGCCAGAAAATAAGGGGGCCAAAGGGGGTGGAACACGTGCACCCCTCCCCGCTGAGCCCCAGACAGAGTCTGGGGAAGGTCAAGGCCAGGGCAAGGAGACCCCTGATTGCTCCAAAGAAAAAGGTCCCCACATTTCAGGCTTCACTTAAACATATCAAGAGGGATGGGAATTGGTTTACGCCCAGGGAGGCAATAAAGCAATATGGGAAAATAATAAATACTTCTTGTCAATTTACCTATTCTTTTTTTAACCTTTTCTTATATTTTATTAGCTTACAGATTCTGTCAGTATGTCTCACATATATATTATATATATTTATATATCAATACAATGCCTCTCTCTAGGGGACCCCCAGAGGCTTAAGAAACCCCTCAAGAATGGAATCCTGGTAGACTTTCCATTCCAGCTTAGAGTCCTTGGGTGGAGGTTGAGGGGTTCCCAACTGCCCTTTGGCCTAAATGTGTGCCTTCTGCCCTCCACTCACGAGCAGCTTGGCTCTGCTGGGGAAACCAAGGCAGAAGGGGGAACAGCAAGGCTTTGGTATTGTAGGTAGGCCATGTGGTGTACAGGTAGCAGCCCCCAGAGCTCTACTAAGTCACCTGGACAGCCCAGCAAAAGTCGGGCCCCAAAACACTTGCAGACGGGGGTACAAGGACGACAGGAGTCTCCCCCGGGCCTCGCTGAGCAGGACTCTTAGAAGCAGGATCCCCTGGATGAGCCCAACACGGGGACCCTGCAGGACAGAGCAGGGCAGGGCAGAGCAGGAAGGCTCAATCTCCAGCACCCAATAAGACACCATGCAGATAAGCAAGTCTGAGATAAGGCTGGTCTGGGCGGGGCACCCAAGGACGGGCTGAGGCCTGGGACTGGCAGGAGCGACCCAGCCACCTCACCGCTGGGCCACACGCCTCAGGAGAGATGCCCGGAGCTCTGCAGCCACCACGGCTGACGGATCTCTTCCCCAAGGCGATGGGCATTCGTGTCCCCCATCTCCTCACATCAGTGCTCCTGCCTCCTGGCCAAGGCAGAACAGGGATGCTGCAGGTGGCCGGCCCCGCTCCTGCTGGCACCCAGGGCTACTAGGCTGCAGGTGCAGGGACCGAGACAGAGTCTGTTACCCATATTCCTGGGTGCTCCTGGGGAGAAGGGCTGATGTCCCCTTCCTCTGCTGTGTCACCCCAACTCTAACCTTCTTTGGACGATATGCACGTGTGTGCAAACGCATGGACACGGACAAGTACACCTGTTTATAATGCGAGCTGAGAGGCAAATATAAATCAGTGTGTGAGGATGTGGGTGTGGACATATACACACCCTACATATATACCCACATGAACTATACATCGGAGACAGAGCAAAGAGACCTTAGGTGCCTCGGGTCTGAGTTACCTTCAAAAACAAAAGTCCTGCCCCTTGACGTCCCATGCTGGCTCTTTTTGGTTTGGCAATCTACCCTAGAGATCGCCGGAAAAAGATTCTCTCAACTTGATTTCTCCTTGCAAAGCAGGGCTAGGGAGACAGAGCTTTTCCATTCCCCTCAAAACATGGATCCCCAAGGAGGTCCGTTCTGCCTCCTTTGAGAAACTCTGTCTTCTGGGAGGGTGAGGGAGAGTTAGGTGGACCTGGTTAGTTTGGGAGGCTTTGGGGTTACGTAGTATCCATCTAACCAAAGGAATCCCAGTAATCCTCCTCCATCTTTTTCTTTCTTTCTCTCCCGCTCTCCCCCTCCCCTCTGCGATTCACTTCCCTCTCCCCACATTGCACTTTCTTCTCTCCTTCTCCAAAATTAGCCCAAAGTCCTCCTTCTGGATTTAAAGGTGGTCAGGATTCATGGGTCTCCCCGCCCCCACATGCCCCATCCCCACTGCCCTGGCCCCAGGCAAGGGGTGGGTTCATCTCTTCTGGCCAGCACTCAGCATGACCTTGGAGACAAAGTTGACAATGGCGGAAGCAGGCTGGTTAGGGTCAAGCTCAGCGAAGAGGTGGCAGGCGTTGTCCGTGGTGCTGCCCTGCTTCCGGGCCACAAAGCCGAAGAGCCTGCAGGGGCAGGAGAAGGGTGACAGGTGTGAGGGGAGGGCAGGAGGGACCCCAGGCCTTGGAGAGCCACCCAGGTGAACAAGCTTATCTTCAGGCTGACCTCTCTCCCTATCTCTCCACATCTCCCCAAGCATGGAGATCGGGAGTGGAACCGAAGAGAGAATCCTCTCTCCCTTCCACTGACAAGAAAGCCAGGTACTGGAGATTACGCATCACTTGCTCTAGGGCAGGCAGAAATCCCCCTTTGCAGGAGGGAGCAGGGGAGAGGCGGAGGTGCAGGCAGTGGACAAGACTGGACAGTGAGATGGGGGAACGAGACCAAAAATAAAATGAGGACATTCCTAGCCCAGCTTCGCTCAGTCCATCTCAGCCCCACCCCTACCCAACTGTTCTCACACAAAACACATCAGCAGATGAATAAAACGCTGTCTGCTTGTCAAAGGGCTCGACTGCCCCAGACACCTGGAGAAGGTCAGGGAAACAAAAGGACGGGGGTCACCAGCCCCTACCACCACACGCACATTTCTCTTGGGCTCCAGAGGATGGGAGGGGGAGGAGGAACCCACACCTGTTCACCCAACCCCCACTCCCTGCACCAAGACTGGAGTGAGCTGGCATTCTCTCTGTGCAAAACAGAGTTAAAAATACGAGTGCAGAGAACAGAATGTGAGCTCAGGTCCCCTCCCAGCCGGCACGTTGCTAATTAGAGCAAGATGGGGAAATCGGAACAGCTGGAGATTCCGATGGAAACCTTGCCCCAGGCCTGGACCACGACAGCTAACATTAGCAAAGTTCGGTCCGGCTTGCAACTGTGCACATGCAAGCGTGTACACGTGTGCGTGCGCGCGGGCGCGCACACATGGCTTGCAACTGTGCACATGCAAGCGTGTACACGTGCGCATGTGCGTGCGCGCACACACACACACACATACTCACACACACTCACACACAGGGTGCTTGCAACTGTGCACATGCAAGCGTGTACACGTGCGCATGTGCGTGCGCGCACACACACTCACACACACTCACACACACTCACACACAGGGCTTCCTACAGCTTTTTCAGGGGCTGGGAATAATTGGGCCAGAGGTCTGGGGTAATGGTCTGCCCAAATAGTGGGGAAGCCTGAGTCCATGGACCAACCCCAGAATCCCCTTTCCAGGCTTCCTGGGATCCTTGGAGTGGTGGAGGGCACTAAGGCACAGGGAGGAAGTGACTCCGAGCTGCCAGCATGATGGCATGCCAACCCTGGTGGCCAGGTTCTGCCAGATGAAGAGTCTGCTGACCTCGTGGCTTATACACCACCCACTTCCCTCCCTTGAAGTTTATTTCAGCTCCAAGACCTGCAGGGCCTGTTCAACAATAACTAAGTACTTTATCTGCTTAGCAAAGTGGATCTCGGTAAGAAACCTCAGCCCTCAAGGGCAGGGAGGAGCACTTGCAGGAACCTGAGAGCTAATGCCTCCTTTAATTCAGGGAGGCATCTCCTGTGCCTCAGCCTAATCCCAGCCCCGCGCTGGGCTTTCCTGGACCTCTGCAGGATGCTCAGCACAAAACCATTCCTGAATGAGGAGACTGATTTTCAGGCCTGGGACCAGCCCACTTCTGTCCCTGACCCCTCCCCCTTGTAGGATCCATGGCAAATGAGCAGATGCTTCTTCAAATACAAGCTTTGGCCTCCTGGTTTGGTGGCAGGGACATGGAGACCCTAATGACCCTGTGAACCCAGGAGAAGGCCGAGGCAAGTGCGAGGCAAGCTTTGAGATGATGGGACACCTGGGTCTTCCTTTCAGCTGGGCTGCTAACTCTTCACGTGACTTCAGGCAAGGCGAGGTCACCTCCATCCCACGGGACCCCTCTGGAAATCCCGCAGTTCAGCCATCGTGCTGACTAGCTGCTGGCCAGCTCCATTCATTCTTGACCAAGGTGGCCTCACTGTGCCCCCTCTTCATTCTCCTCCTCCCTGTCTCACCCCTCATTTCTTCATTCGACAAATGTTTATCAGCTTCTCCCATGCAACAGACACAGTCCTGTCCTCAGGGGGCTTGCACTCTGGTGGCCATGCCCCGCATCCGCCTGAAATAGTCTCTCCTACCCCCATACCCACATGCCTGTCTTTTAATATCCATTTTTAAACATAAGTTCTAAACTTTCCGGAATCTCTCCCTGCCTAGGTGACCTCTCCTGTGTCACACCTACATATGTGAGCTGTACCCTCTTGGCATGTCTCCTACAGCAGAGATTTTGTATTTTTTAACAGGGAAATTTTTTTTTTTCTAAAGCAATCTTATATGAAGTCTGAATAGATAAAGGTGACAGCAGTACTTATAGCTATAAATGTATCGATTCAAAAGCATCACGTTTACCCATTATAAAGTCAATCAGTGAGAAAAACGAAGCTGTTTAGCTGAGCCCGGCAAAGTAAGACGTGGAGTTACTGACCACAGTGGCAGTCTATGTCAGCTTCAACAGCCAGGTTACTCCTATACTTTGTTTTGGTGTTGGGATATTGAGAAAACCTCCGATTCATCCCGATATATAATTGTAAATTGTAACAGGGTTTTTCCTCCCCTGTTAAGGGCTCAGTTGCAACCTGAGAGTCCGAGGGTTCCCTGGAACACCATGTGAAAACCACTTCAGCATATGAGTGCTGTTTATACACGTGTCCTATCCACCATGCCAATGTCAGGCCTCCTGGGAGTGAGTCAGCCTCCTGGTTGGTCTGAATCCTTCCAAAGCTCAATGGATGGAAGCATCAACCAAAAGGTCCCAGGGCATCCCCAGAATTCAGACCTTCTGGGCTCCCATGTTCTGATGCGGTCTAGCCCAGGCACAGTATTCCCAGAAGCCCACCAAAAGAGCAAGAACAGGAGTCAAGGAAGCCAGGAGGGGCAGAAAAGATCATTTAAACAACCTCTGCCTCAATGCCTTTGCCTCCAAAAAAACTCAGCTTTCTGTCCACTTCCTCAGACCCCTGCTGGTCTGGTCCTGGGAGAGGAAAGATGACAAGACGGGAGGCTGGCCTTTAGGCTGGGATAGAAAGCAAAAGACCTGGCTACCTGGTCAGGCTTTTATCCCAAGCTGAGTGACCTGTGCTGCCCTTTGCCCTGGTCCCAGATTTTAAACCTGCCCCTGATCCCCCCACTCCAAGGAACAAAAGGACCGGTCAGCTGGGTTGGGGGGAGAAGCCACACTTACTTAGCAGGGGCCCCTCCCTCCGTCTTCATCCACCTGTGGAAAGAAAGACAGAACAGCGTAAGCTACTACACCTCCTCTCCAGTACCCAGCCCCGTGCATCCCCAAACCACATGGGGCAAGGCAGAGGAGCCCCATTATGGAGGGTGGAGGGCATTCACGCAAAGAAAAACCTTTACCTCCCAAGGAGCTTCTCCCAATGTGGAGAAGAGAAGCAGAATCAAGGTCAAGGACATGGCAGAGTAGGTGAAAATGGGCATTTGAGTCCTTGGGAGAGTCTCCAAATTTGTCATGGGGAAAACTCAGAAAGATGCCCAGTATAATTATTCACACTCCCACAGACACAGGCAGATCTTCAAGTTGAACCAAAAATACACACACATGCATATACACGTATGCATACACACACTTGCACACACAGACTTTAGTGTTCTAGAGCTGGCTGAGATGGAGGTGTCTACAAGAGACTTACTTTCTCTCCTGTGGATCCAGGTCACAGAAAGTGACAGTGTTGAGGGGGTAGTGTCGTCTGAAGAAGAGCCTATGGCACGGACATCAGATAAACAGAATGAGCGCTGAAGTGACAAGTCAGGCCACCTTCCCACCGTCTGTGGCTGTCATGGGTTGACACAGCTTCTCCCTTATGAGCAAGACAGCCTGGGATGCTCCCATTGGGGACATAAGCAATGCACAGGGACAAATATGTCATAGAAACATGTCTCAAAACATGTCAGAGGTTAGGAAAAGAAAGAAGAAACTAGCATTGAGGAATGAGAAATGGGGGGATCCCTGAGGAGGAAGGAAAGGGGCTGGGAGAACATGTGAGGGAGAACTTGGGAGGAGGGGCTCTGCTCTAGAAAGCGGGTACTTTATCGGGTGCATGTGCAGCTGTATACTCAATGCAGACATATTTGTAGGAGGATGGAAAAATGGGGGGATGGGTAGATGAATGGAGACATACATGAGTGAAGGAATAAATGAGTGGGGGAGGGCAGAGGGGGAATGAATGGATGCAGGGATGGATGGATCAACTGGTGAGTGGGCGAGCAAGTGGGTGGATGGGTGGATGGATGGATGGATGGATGGATGGATGGATGGATGGATGGGTGGATGGACAAATAGATAGATGGGTAGATGGAGGGTGGATGAGAGATAGATGGATGAATAAATAAATGGGTTCAAGCAATGGATCAATTGGTAAGTGGGTGGGTAAGTGAAAGGATAGGTAGGTCACAGGAGAGGCCAACACAGAAGCAGGTAGAGAGTCTTACTTCCTCTGGTTGTCAGTCAGTGTAATTCCCTGGGCAGAAACTTTGAAGTGAACAATGGTGGCAGCCGGCGTGGGGTCAGCAGCCAGTGTCTCAGAAGTGGCTTTGGAGATGGCCTGTGGCCCAGTGAGTGACTCCATATCCACAGAGTTGACGAAGAGCACGTTACAGGCTGGAAGAAACCCAACGAAGGAGAGATCGTGGGGTTTGGAGTAGGTGAGGACGATCCCTGGGTCCTCTCTTTAGGGAGGAGGTAGCAGATGAATTTCAAGTCAGCCTCAGGCCATGGCATCTACACACAAAAATGTGTGGTGCCCACCTAGAGACATTGGGTCTAGGAGAGATGCCCAGCCTGCACCTGCAGGAGGGGACAGGGCAGGGAGGAGGAAAGGCCGGGGGAGATCTGGTCTGGCGTGGCCACTCACCTGCCCCTTGCTTCAACAGGTCAGTGGTTGAGTTGGCAGGGCCTGAGCTATCTTTCGATTCATCTGTGGGATCTGAGACAAAAATTGAATTCAGCTGGTAATTAAAACTCTAGAGCTGGAAAGAAGCACAAGTCTGGCTGGGCCTAAGGTAAGCTCTGCAAATACTTCATGCAACAGATACTGCTTTTCACGTCAGGCCCTGGCAATCGGCACGTGCATGTCCAGTTGGAATGTTCAATAATTGCTCTGAGTATTCATTGCACTGATTGACTGCTTTGGAGTCCAACAGAGCCGGGATCGGACCCTGAGCCTAGCATGTGCTAAATATCTATAATACGGAGACAATGATGATAGAAGCCATTTCACTGGGCTTTTCAGCTGTTCCACGTACAGTGTTAGCCCAGAGCTTGGCATAAAGCAAGTCTTCAAGTGGCAATTGCTGTTATTGTTTTGCATTGCTACTTCTGCGTGGATCAATAAATGCCCTCCTTCATTAAACCATTAATGCAGCACTACTATAATTTCGATATTAATAAGAACTGAGTATTGTTTACGCCAGTGTTGCTCTGACTTTGGCGTGCAGGCTTGTTAAAACACAGATTGCTGGACCCCACCCCAGACCTTCTACTTAGGTGGGGCATGAGAATATTTGCACTTTTAACAAGCTCCCAGGGGTGCTGCTGCTGCTCTAGGGACCATACTTGGAGAGTATTTATACAATGTAAATATCAAACAGTTTTATAATTGCTGAATTACTTTGGTAAATTCCATAGAAATACAATTTAATTAGTGTCTATCTAAATTGTGTGGTTAATAATGCTATTTAAGTTGTATTTGAACTTTTAAGCTAATAATGGTGGTCAATTACCATTAATAATTAAATGAATCGAATTGGATACATAGAAATTGTCGAATAATATTGGAGTTTTCTGTGTGGGCAGAACCCCAGGAGCGCTGAGAGAGGCTGGGAAGAACGTCCCAGAGCCACTTCTGACTATCCTAGTATTTAACAAAGAGGGTAGGGAGAAGGTACTTCCATTCCCAGTTCCTAGACTTCAAGTTCAGGGCCGAGCATATTTCCCTCCTGTGGGCCCTGTGTACTTGAGGGCTGGGAAACAGAAGCCTGTGCTGCGAAAAGTTTCAGGTGTCCATCTGCCATCCTCCATGTCTGGGACACCCCTCAGAGAGAAGCTGAAATCTCCGTCACCGGCCCCAGTACCTCAGATTCTTGCCCTGTGTCCTGAGGTTCTGAGTTTCATTCAAACTTCCCACAATCGAAACAGGGTGTGCTCGTCCCCATCAGCTCCATGTCCTCAGTCAGGGAACACCCTCTCAGTCACACACACTAGAAACTCCAGGGACGTCCTACCCTCCCCTTTCCTTCCCACACCATGTGGAGCCCAGCCACCTCTCCTCTAAGCAATCCCTTGAGGGGACACTGTGCTCTGTCCCCTCCATTAGGACCAGACGCCCACCCTGGAAGTCCCCATGACCTAAATCTGCCTTCTCCTTCCCCTTCCTTGAGCCCTGCCCACGGATGCCCATCCCATCTTCCAGGCCCCGGTCCTCCCCGTGACTGACTGTCTCCTACCTCTAGTGCCTCCTCCGAAATGAGGCTTATTCTGAGGATTCGGTCTGAATTTCTTTAAGCCTCTGGGGAATTTTCCAGAACAATGTGGCCAGTCAATTATGTCCATTCCTGGAATTAAGCTTTTAATAAACTTTTCCTTTTTTTTTTTTTTAGTACTAAAAAAGGGGAGTGGTTTTGAGTTTCCCCGGATTGGCAAAGTGACTCGCATCCTCCAACCTTGGCCTGTGTTCTGGAGCGGCTGGCAGGGCCGAGACACAAAGGAGGCCAGCTCAAGGGCACGCTGGCAGAGCAAGGCGTCTCAGGTTCCTACCTCGGTTTGGAATGACCAGCTTGCAGGGCAGAGCCAGTGGGATGATGGAGTGCTGGTAGACCAGGGCAGAGAGGGATCCTGTAGCGGGGGAGACAGGATGTTAGGGGCGGCATTACCAGGAGCGGGCCAAAGGCACTGGGGAATCCCCCGATCCCCCACGAGCCACAGTCTAGCTTCTTTATTACTCTCTCATCATCTCACCAACGGAGCTGAAAATCCCCTCCTTCTTTGTTAGCAAGACCCAAGGGAGAAGATTCCAGAGGCTCCTTCTAGGAGTCGCAAGGTTACCTAACAACTCTCCTTTGTAGAAAGTTACTCCCATCATCTCTCCTAAGTCCTTCCGGCTGCTGGGGCCCCTCTTAGGACAGAGCAGCGGAAGACTCAAAGAATCATGGACTCAAATCCCAGCTCAGTCACTTATGAGCCATGCGGTCTTGAGTAAGTCTAAATGCTATGAACCTCAGTATCCTCATGCATAAAATGGGACCATGGCACCACCAAGCAGGATCGTTGTGAGACCAGAAGTGATATGAGGGACCTAGACAGTGACTTTCACATAGTACATGGTCAATAAAGGCTGCTATTGTTATCATTGTTGTTTAGATTATAATGATAGCCAGTGTCAGTGGGGGAGGATAAATACGAAGGAATCTGGCAGGGGGACGGAGCTACAGTACAGAGGAAGGGAAGCCGCCATTCATTTTCTCCGCTGCACCTACGACAAGGAGGGCTGGCAGAACCTGTGGCAAAGGAACCTGGGACAGGCCCGAGACACCACCGACCGACTATGGGGACAGAGGTTGGGGGACATCTCACCAAAGTTTGGCTCATTGGGGCACCCCTTGAGCTTGACTCCTCTAGGGCCAGTCTCTATCAGGAAATGTCTCACCAGCTCATGGGTCATGTCCCCTGGGATAAAAAGAAAGAAATGAGGACTAGTCACTTTTCATGGCATCCTCCCACCGCCTCCCAACACTGCTTCATAACCGCTCCAGCATGCGGGGCTGTGACGGAAGACAGGTCGGAGAGATAATGTGGCCGGAACCCTGGGATGGAGCGACTAGCACTCCTCTACGCACCTCAAGGATACAATCGAAGCGTCCCAATAATCTGCCTCCCCTGTTTTCTGACCCCCACCATCACCAAGGTTCCCTCTGCCGAAGAGTCCGATAGAGCAGGGGCCAGCTACCAGGAGAGAATTAGAGACCTGCCCAGCCCCCAGGCCCTTCCTGCACCTCAGGGTTTGAAGAAACCTTACAAGATTACCTGGCCCTGAGGCCCCCACTTAAGCAGATGCTGTTACCTTTTTTATTCTGCTGCATAATGGTCGGAGGGGGAGATGACACCTTCATGGCCAGCCCATAGGCCCCTCGGAAGGAGTGACTGTCACGGATGATGAAGGCCCCTGGTTCCTGGTCCTTCAGGAGTGCGATGGCTGAATGGTAAGGGGTGAGGACGGAGGAGGAAATAAGAAATTGACTGCACTGGCTCTACTTATCATCAGGCCTCTCGAGCCTCACTCTTTGTTAGAATTCAAGCACTCCTAAGGGTCCTCCTATACCAAAGTTGGCAATTTTTTTCTGTAAATGGCCAAATGTAAATATTTCAGGCTTTGCAGGCCACGCAATCTCTGTTGCAACGACACAACTCTGCCTTTGCGGCACAAAAGCAGCCACAGACAGTACATAAACCAACAGATGTGGTTGTGTTCATTAAATCATGTTTACAAAAACAGGCGGCAGTCTGGATCTGACCATGGTCCATAGTCGCCTGTGCCCTGTCCTATCCACACAGACTCTCCTTGGGCGCTAAGGCAGACCTCATCTCGATCCCCACAATCCCAACTGTTTTCTCTGTAAAATGTGCACAACTCTCCCACATCATGCAGATGGAGAGCTCAGGTTTCCTACGATCTTGCCCGGCTTTTTACTTTGCCCAGAAAACCAAGACTCTGCTGCTTTTAAAAATCCTTCAAAGGAGCATCTACCACCACTGCTTCTGCTCCCCCACACTTCACCTGGGGATCACTCTTCCTGTCTGACCTGGATCCCAGCCCCTCTCTGTGACCACCACCTACGGCAAAGAGGAAGGAGTCTGCTGAAGTTCCTTGCCCAGGAAAGATGTGGTGGGCAGCAGCCGGCTGTGACCTTGGATGGACTCTAGTGCCCCGCAACACTCACCCTGCTCTCTAGAGATCTCAGGCTTGTACCAATACTTGGAAGTGTCCTGGACAAATTTCACTTTAGCCCGGGTCTCAGGGCTGTTGTCTGAAGGAGGAGGAGGAGAAAAAAGAAAGAATAGTTACAAGTTGAATTATGACCTCCAAAAGCTACGTTAGAGCCCTCATCCCGGTATCTGTGAATGTGACCTTATTTGGGAGTAGAGTCTTTGCAGATGTAATCAAGTTAAAATGAGGTCATGCTGGATTAGAGTGGGCCCAAACCAATATGACGGGTGTTCTCATAAAAGGAGGGAAATTAAGGGGAAAGCACCATGTGAGCATGGAGGCAGACAGACATTGGAGAGATGCATCTATAAGCCAACGGACACCAAGGATTTCCAGCAAGCACGGGAAGCCAGGAGAAGGCCTCTAACAGACTGCCCCTCAGGGCCTCCAGAAGGAACCAGCTCTGCCAACACCTTGAGTTTGGACTTCGGTCACACAGAATACATTCTTTTTTTTTTTTTTTTTTTTTTTTTCATAAACTCACGCAGCCCGTCGGCAGACGGGTTGGAATCAAAACCCAGCCCTTATTTAAAAAAAAATTTTTTTTACACCTACAGCACCTGGTCTTCCTAGACGGTCTCCCATCCAAGTACTAACCAGGCCCGACCCCGCTTAGCTTCCGAGATCAGATGGGATTTGTCTTAAGACATTAAGCCTGTGGTACTTCGTTATGCTGGCCTAGGAAACTAATGCAGAAAGTTAGTCTCCTCAAACATCATCAGAGTATTGCTAAAAGGGACCTCGAGCAGCTTTCTCATCCTTTCGCTGTCTTCCACCAACCCTCACGGATCACAGAGCTGCTCTCTTGTCGAAGAGCCCGGTACGGTATTCTCACTGAACCAACGAAAGCCCTGCTCCACCCCAACTCCCCCTTCCTCTAGAAGTGTCAAACTAAACCCTTCTTGCAGCTTCTCTCCCCACCTCTAGCCCCTTTCTCAACCTTATCGTAACAACCTTGAAGATGAAGGCAGAAAGATGCATGTTGTCCGCTTCTCCCCACCCCCTCTTCATTCCCCATGTGGAAAGCCCATTGTATAGAGTGAAAACCATCCCTCCTGCCTGAGACAAAGAGGGGAAGGCTTAGCCTAGAATTTAGAAGCCATCTACTGTGTGTCACATACTCCGCTTCTCTGGTAGATTCTCCCCACCGCAGACCCTTTGCGGACCAGGGATGACTTCATAAAACATGAGGCACTAGGAGGAGTTCCGAGAGCATCTAGTCCAACCATTTAACCTTACAAGTGAGGAAAGTGAGGTTCGTAGAAGGGGAGTGATCTGCCCAGGTCACACAGATGGTTAACAGAAAGGCTCTTGTAAGACCTTCCCAGATAAGTCGACACAGGAGCCGGTTCAGTACCAGCTACACCATATCTTGCCAGTAGGTATTAGGATGCGTGACCCTCACTCTCCAACCTCTCCCTTCATCTTTTGGCAACAACGACAAACAGAAAGGGGGATGGGCAAAGAGGAAGAAAGGTATATCCACTTCTACATGTTTCCTCTCCTTTCTTGAGAGAGAGGCCGGGGCAGAGGGAGCCTGTGCTAACGAAGCCGTAAAGCTCAGGGCTCAGAACAGAGACGGGGCTGGGCTCTGCGTCCATTGCTTAGTCGATTTCAATGTATCCCTTAAACTCTGCTAGACTTCTGGGATCTGTCTCTGGAGGACAGTGAGGGGGCAAGTAGGTCAGCTCCCTTTCCTGGCAGCTGTGCGCTGAGGAGGGCCTCTGGGGTAGGCAGCTGGACCGTGCAACTATTGCAAGCTGCCTCTCTCTGCTCTGAAGCCACAGGCCCCCGCTGATGCTCTGTCAGAGGCGGCTGCAGCTCCATGTGCCTTCCTGTGTTGACTCCAATGGCTATTTTAAGCAGGGAAGATGGTGGGAAACAGGAAATGTCCCAACTACTAGAAGTTTTGAACCTTCCAGGGAGAGAAGCTGGGAACCAGATGTCTCTGGTGGGCAGCAGGAAGCAGGGGAGTGCAGAGTCGCTGTAGGTGTCCTGGCTCGGCAGGCTCAGGGCAGGACCTGGGAGTGACATATTGAGAATCTGGGCTTCTGGGGCCCAACCCAGGCTGCCCAAAACATTCTCAATAGTCTTTGAATGCCTCGGGACCACAGGGCCTCTCTGCACACAGGCAGGTTCCAGGTCTGGATGAGAAGCTGCAAATCAGCTGAGGCCTTGACCTTTGTGTTTAGATAATGAGCTCTCTAAGTAGAAGCAGAGAGGCCAAGTTCTGGTGATGAGTGAAGAATTCAGTGTGCAAACTTGCACAAGCTTTAATGAAGCCGGGTTGGTAGAAACTAGACTCCAGTGAAATGCCCAGCCCTTGGCTTTGTCCCATATCACATCTGGCTGCCATATCTATTATTAGTGATGTGAGTGAAGTAAGGATCAAAAGGTGGGAACAAGGGGCTTGTAAAAGGTATGGAGGTCCAGATTTGAAAGGGAGACATGATAAAACAACTCCAATAATGCAACTCCGAGAGCATTAACTCTGGGTAGTATGGGTCTGGATTGGCAGCCTGGCTCTGCCATTTGTTAACTATCTGACCCTGGATAAATGACTGAGCCCTCCAAGTCTCAGTTGCATTGTGTATGGCTGTGAGGATGAATGAGCTAGCACTTAGCTCAGAGCTCGGCACACAGCCTGTACTCAACAAGCGGTAGTGGCTGTGATAGTGATGATAATCGTAACAATAATGCTATCATTATTATTTTCATCATCATCATCGTCATCATCATCATCATCGGCATCTACATCCTTCTCCATGCCCCCACAGCCACGACAACCATAATGCATTTCCTTTATGTCTACCTTCAACTCCCATTATACAGATAAGGTAACTGAGGACCACAAGTCAGTGATCCACCCACGGTGTGTCTGCCAAGAGGCTGTCAGAACAGAAATCCTAACTGGTAGACTTCATCTGTCAGCAGTAGACAGGGAGGTGGAAGGAGAGGCCCACCTGGCATGGAGTACTTGGAGAAGTCAGGCAGAGTATGAGAGAAGGAGACGGTGCTGCTCCCACTGGGACTGGACATGCCGCTGGCGACAGGCGAGGAGGACACCTTCCCGTTGATGGTAGCATAGTTGGGGAGGCTGCCCGCCCGGTCTCCCATGGACATCCTCCGCTTCTCTGGCAAGGCCGGTGTTGGGCTCCCTTGCCGGAAGGCTGCTGAATCCGGCGAGGGGGAGGTGGCAGGGCTACTCAGACCAGGGTAGTAGGCAGAGGACACAGGGAAGGAGGGCGTGGAGGGAGCCTGGTAGCCGGAGGCACTGCTCTGCCGGGACAGCGTGGGTCTCCGGTCCTCAGGGGTGGAGTAGCCGCCATAGGCCACGTGCCGGTCTAAGCTGGGGCTTCCGGGAACCACAGATCCAGATCCTCCCAGGTGCCGGCCCAGGCTGGGGCTTCCGGGGCTGGCTATTGTGTTGCCATGGAGACTGGGGGCCAGGTTGCCCTGGTGGGTTCCTGGGTGCCGGCCCAGGCTTGGGCTCCCTGGAGTGGTGACCACACTGCCATGGAGGCCTGAGGCCTGGTGGGCCCCAGGGTGCTGGCCCCGGCTGGGGCTTCCTGGAGTGGTCGCTGCACTGCTCTGGGGGCTGGAAACTGTGTTACCATGGAAACCAGCTCCTGATGGGCCCATCACCTGGCGGTGGCTCAAACTGGGGCTGCCAGGGGCAGCCATGCTGGGGTTGATGGCTCGGCGACCAAAGCCAGGGCTAGGGGGAGTATTGGTGCCCACTGTCCTCTGGCGTGCCTGAGGGCTCCCGGGTACCGTGTGGACGCTGGGCACAGCAAACTGAGCCCGGGCCTGGCTTTCTGGGGAGTTGAACTGCTGCAGTGAGTAGTCGTGGCTGCTGTAGCTGCTGCCCACGGCCGGGAGAGGAGAAGAACTCTGGTAGCTTCTCTGAGCCGAAGGGCTGGGCTGGCTCAGGCTGCCGGAGCGGAAGCCGGAATCCAGCAAAGGCTGGGTGGGTGTCCGGGGGCCCTGGTCACTGCTCTCTCCTGACGGGAAACTCCCCACTGAAGTGCTGGAGAGAGAAAGGGCAGGTTGAGATATCGGTAAATGGCATTTAACGAACGACAGGCTTTCGGCGAGCACCCAGACCTCCCTCCCACCACTAATAACGAGTGAGGACTCCGCTCACATGCATGGGAATGTCAGGGTTTTTACATCAGCCTATGGAACATCAGAAGCGGAAACTGAGGCTCAGAGAGGTTAAGCGACAGGCTTACGACCACAGGGCTCATAGAAGACCAGGGTTTCAACTCAGTTGTGTCTGATTCCAAAGTCTGTGTTTGCCCCACTGCCCTGTGCTGGCTCCTGAACCACACAAGTCAAAGCGAGGTGCCATCTTCGACCGAAACGGAAAGTGGCTGTCCTTGTGTCACCTCCAGAATCACAGAAACCGAAGACTGGAGAGAGGGTCGAATCACCTGGATCTCATTCCTACTGGAAGTGTCCCCGCCTTGACTCAGTTTCCTCAGTTGTGCCATCGTTATCTTTAAATGTTGAGAGTGTTAGAATTGGGCTTTCATTCCTGGGTAGCTCCAAAACGCAAAGAAAAGGAAGTCTCGGAGAAGGAGATTTCAGCTCGTTATAAGGTCTGCTTTCCAGCCGGTGGATCTGGCCACTCATGGAGCAAGCTGCTGTACATGGTAATGAGACCCCGATCGCTAGGAGCGTTTAAACAGAGGCCAACTGACCTCTTGGCCTGAATGTTGTGGAGGGACTATTCTCCATTGGAAGTTAGATTGGATGAGCTCAGAGGTTGTTCCCAACTCAAAAACTGTTAAAATTTACCTCAGAGGGAGCTGTATCTGGGGGAATAGCCACAATCAAAGGTTCTCCTCCGAAGTTAAGTACAAGTCCATAGGGAAGGAGTACAATGCAATGGCCTGGGAGTTGGGAAACCTGGATTCTGCTGGTAGTCAGTCTTCCCATATGAAGACATGAGGGAGCTTTGTTAAGATGACCCTGATTCTTTCCAGACACAAACTTCTATCCCTCGTTGTCATGTCAAGAGAGTCAAAAGTTGGCAGGGACCTGGCATAAGCAGCAGCTGCAGGGAGGTGGCAGGCAGGCTTTCCACCAGGAGCCCCTTAGGGGTAAGGTGGGGTCCTCACATAAGACGATGGGCCAAAGCCTGGAGCTAGAGACTGGGAGTGTCGAGGCCGGCTGGCCAGCCCCACATGGGCCGGCTCAGATAAGCTCGCGTCCCCCAGGGAATGTGAGGTAGGTGGTAGGGGTGGCAGGCAAGAGCCTAGGGCAGGGAGAAGTCAGGGGCCAGGCTAGGACAAAGGCCACCTCACATCCTAGAAGGGGCCAGAGCAGAACGGCCACTTTCCGATAGGAATAACTTGGATTCTGAGGGATGGGAGGACATGTCAGGCTGGGTGGGGTGGGACCGGTTCGGAACACTGAAACAGAGCTGAAAGATTAATCCCAGAGGAGAAACGTTAGTTTCCTGAGTCCTGAAAAAAACCAACACCACGGCAGGAAGAAAGTGAGTGAGAAACAGTGAAAACTTCCTGATGTCAGGGCTGCCTGACCCCAACGGTGATGACCGGCAGGCGAGGAAGCCCCCCTTCCTTTGGAGGACTGCACCCTCTGCCCAGAGGCAGGCCTCCCAAGAAATGGAGCTGTCTGCCCGTCAGGAGGCTTGGGAGGGAGCAAGATAGACTGGGGGTGCAGGCTGGGCTTGAGGTTTCAGAATTCTTAGAATCCAGAAGAAAACTGCCTCTGCTCACACAGCTACTCGCCCCAACCTCGGAGGGGTGTGTTACCCTGGCCAATGTAGGGCACACGGCAAACTTAGGCCATCCCTGGCCTGCGGATATGTGAAGAGGTGGCTTGAGTACTTCCTGGCCCCTGGGATCCCAGGCTAGGGAGGGAGTGGACGCGGGAAGGGGTGGTCAGTGGCAGTCTCTCTCATGAGGGTTCTGGCTGGGGCAGGTTCATGTCAGGGCTGCCTGACCCCAACGGTGATGACCGGGCAGGCGAGGAAGGCCCCCCTTCCTTTAGAACCCTCATGAAGGTTCTGGCTGGGGCAGGTTTCTCTTCCCTCGCCTGGTACCCTATGCCCTTCCTGGGCTGACCTCAACTTCCCTCTCCTATGTCATCTTCTCCCCTCTCTGTCATTAAGCTACCCGCCAGCCGAGCAGCTTCTCACCGTACCCAAACATGGGGTCCTCTCTCTTTAGAGCCCTCCCCTGCCCAGTTCTAGGCTTTCCACTCAGAATGCCAGCCACATCCCCAGCAAGACACCCTTCCTCACACTCAGCAGTGACACTCCTCACCTGAGCCGTCAGCACCACGACCCCCCAACACATCCACACCCTCAGCCCTCTGTCCTGGCTGTGCTGTCCTTCTAGAATGCCCTCTCCCGCCTTCCTCATCTTCAACACCCTGATCATCCTTCTGGCCTCACCACAAATACCTCCAACCCCCAGGCATCCTCCCTGTACCCCTAGCCAGAAATCACAGCCCCTTACACTGAGTTTCGAGCACTCTAATTATGCATCTGCTTTGGGCACATCTGAGTCCTCCTGTGATGGGCACCTTAACCCAGGTCTGGGGAAAAGGACAGAGACGTGGGCTCTGAACCTGACGCCCGTGGTCTGAATCCTATTTCTGCTACTGTTTAGCTTCAGGACCGTGAGCAACTACTTTGCTTCTCTGTACCTCAGTTTCCTCTTCTGAAACGTGGAAATGATAACAGCACTTACCTCATAGGATTACCGCCAGGTTAAATAAAATAACTGTATAAAGCCTTTAGCAAAATGCCTGATGTATATAGGATGTACTCACTACATAGCGAATTACTGCTGTTAGATTTTAAACTTGGGGTAGGGACTACTCCTGGTTCACCTTCATACCCCCTCCACCCCCACCCCACTCCTTCCAGCACACTTCTGGACGCTGGAATTGAATTCAGCCTGGGGATTAGAGCAGATTCATCCTCAAGCTCCGCACAAGATGTGGCACTGAGCAGCTACTCTCTCAAGGTGCCCTGATGAGCTAGTTTTCCAAGGACAGCAACCTGGATGTTATTTCTGCCAGTCCACACCCTGGGCAAATCCAAGAGCCCTCACCTATGCTAGCCCAGGTCTGAACTCTCACACCACGCGCTGCTTCTCCCCACTTACCTGTCAGCGCTGAGGATGGGGCTGCTGGTGGAGAGGGGGCTGGGGGAGACAAAGGAGCCACCCAGGGTCCCATTCCTCAGGGGCGTCTCATGGCCATAGGCCTGGGCAGCTGGGGCGCTAAAGCTCTTGGGCTCAGGGTCCTGAGCTCGGGGCCCAGCTACTGCCGTCCGCACCACCGACTCGACGTAGCTCCGAGGCTCTGGAAAGGGCAAGGAGACAGACTGAGCACGGACTGATGGGGCGCAGTGTGGACCCCATCCAGCCTGCCAGGGAGCCCGCCACTCCGGTGTTCAGCCTGTGAAGACAGCCCCAAAAGGACAGCCAAGCACGCAGAGGGCACTTCTAGGGCTCCTGCCTTCCCATGCCCGCCCCTCTTCCCAGCACCTCGGAGAAGCTGTAGGAGGCCCCACAGCACTTTAACCACAGCCTCACTCAGAGAGGCATCTTAGAAGTGGATTCCAGCTCTGCCTCTAAACACAGCCATCATAGAATCTTAACCCTCCTCCACACACCCCCAATCCCCCGCCCAGAGCTGGGACAGCCATCCATAGCTGGCATCCATCCCCCTTAGCTGTTTCTTTCCTTTGAAGACTCGATCCCCTACCCCCGCTCCCCAGGCCCTTCTAGTTGCCCCAGGCACCACTGGAATCTGGGCTATACAGAGACCCAGAGGTCCAGCCGGCCCTGCCCCAGCTTAGAACAGTGCCAGGGTTCACACAGGCTCCACTCCACGCCCAGGATCCAGAAGCAGGCCTGTGCTGGTGAGGCACGCCCAGCCCCTTCACACCCAGACACACCCACCCCCTTGCCTGATACACTTAGCATTCCTCCTGAGACGGACACCATCATCCCCACTTGGTATTCAGAATATCCTAAGAGGAAGCGGGTGGGGAGGACAGGCACCAGAAAGGCCGTCTTACAGATGAGGACGCTGAGGCCTAGAGAGTGAAATCACTGGAGGCCCAGCCAGGAGCCAGACCTCTTGACTCCCAGCCAGTGCTTGTCCAACGCCTCCTCTGAGGCCGGCCCCAAAACTAACTCGAGATTAAACAGAGAGAAGCAGCAGAGTGCCCTGGGTTTCTCCAGGGACATGATGAGGGATGGATGACATTCCTGCCACCTCCATTTCTGGCACCAGTTCCGCCTCCCTCAAGACGGACATGATTGAGCACAGACCCACACTCTGCCTGCAATTAGGGCATCTGCTGAAACCAGCCTGAGAAACTGGAGAACTGAAGAGTCGGTGCAGCCCCAGGCAGGCCAGGCCCCTGGAGCCTTTGTTGGCCAAAACTGTGCTGGTCACTAAGTCCAAGAATATCCACCTCCCCCTGAGCCCAAAGAAAAGCTTACTTTGGAAGGAACTCAATCACCAAGGTGTTATGGGGCACAGCCTCTTGGGCATGGCTTCTGAAGTGGTCCCACAGCCTAACACCCTGCACACAGGCCCAGAGGCCTGCGGACAGGGGGAAGATGGTCTTTCAGAACAGGGCCCTTTACAGAGGTGTGGGGCAGGGGGTAGAGGGAGGAGGGAAAGGGGGATTCTGTGTACAACTTCAGCCAGAGGCTGCCAGTCTGTCTTTTAGTTTTCACAGAGTTCCCTTCAACCAACAGCAGTGAGAGCGGATGGGGGTGGGGCAGGATGTCTGCAAAGGGACAATCTATTCCAGGTACGGGGTGCAGGGTGATGTAGCATCAGCTCCTTGGCATCCAAAGCTGGAGTCCACATGGACAGAGGCCAGCAAAGCCACCTTGAGAGCCCCCTCAACCAGCCCAGGCCACCCACACCCACCTCACAGAAGCCCCAGGCCTCATCCATTCCAAAGGCACTGATTCTGTGCCATCTGTGCCTGAGGCCCTGCTGGAGTCAGGAGATGCTAGGACACCCTCCGACCCGAGGCAGACACACTTTCTGATAAAGGACCTGACAGTAAATATTTAGGATTGCTGGGCCAGACAGCCTCTGTCACGGATACTCAGCTCTGTTATGGCAGCGTGAAAGCAGCCAGACAACAGTGCACGAATGAATGAGGCTGTGTTGCCATGAAACCGTCTTTACCAAGATTGCCGACCCCTGAGCTGACCCAGCTCCTCAGCCCAGAGAAGTAGAGTGATCCGCCCGGGGACACACAGCCAACTGGTAGCGATGGATGGACGGGCTCTTGATTCTCCATGCTGGCTCTGCGTGGCCTAGAGGAGGGCCACAGCCTCACAGGGGCACCCAAGGCCGGCTCCTACCCAGAACTCCAGCCCACCAGCCAGAGAAGAGCCAACTCCATTAATAATGATAGAAATAGCAAACAGTTGTATGAGGACAGTAGGATTTGGAGAAAGGATCTTGACCTGGTCACACAGTAGCAAGTGGCAGGGTCAGCCCTGGAACCCAGGCAGTCCGGCCCGGAGCCTGCTCTCTGGCCCACTGAACATATGGTCAGCTGAAAATTGGGGTGCTGATAGTTTCAGTGTGTCTTTAACCTTAGGGGCTAGCTCCATGCCCTGGGGTAACCCCGCTTGGCAGAAGAGACTATCAGACAGGGACTCGCATCCACAGAAACAGTAACAGAGACCCAAGGCCAGAGCCCGCCTTCTCCACCCATCCCTCAGTGCCCGGCCTCACTCCCTCCAAAAATTCCTCCTGACACCCCTTCTCTCCCACTCAGAGACAGCAGTGAGATCCACCCGCCCCGGCCACCCTGGGTTCCTTGGTGATCTGTACTCGGGCGCCTCGCTCAGTGCCTGGCACCTAGTGGGCCCCCAATATGTGTCTGTCCTACAAACTAGCAGATGCATGACCCGTACCAGCCAGCCCCACCCAGACAGAGGAGCATCACAACCAAGACCTGAGGGACATACATTCACTTTTTCTCATTCCCTGGAGTTCCTGCCGACCCCAGAAGTTCAAGCGAAAACCCATGTAGATGACCCCTGAAGTCCGAGCTCCCTCTCACCCACAACGCCCCCTCCCCCTTACCGTCCCCCCCCAATCCAGGCGGGAGGAGCGAAGCCCTTTCACTCAACCTCTGCTCCTCACAAACTCAGAGCAGGAGGGGCCTCTGGGAAGTTACTTGGCTTTCTGAGTCCATCCCTAGAACTGTTCAAACCCAACATTTGGGGCAAAAAAAATCAGTTTTCCCAAGTTTTCAGTCTCCGATTTCCACGTCTCCCTCTCTCCTCTTAACCTCAGGACAACGTACAACTTGCGGGTCCCCCTTCTTTCACTTACTGGAGGGGTGACCTGGGACAAGCTGCTGAAACTTTCTGGGACTCAGTTTCCTCGTCTATAAAATGGGAATGAAAATACCCACCTGCCCATCCAGGATCAAGTGATAAGAGATGGGAAAGTTCCTTCTAATCCTTTCTTGTTAATTCCAATTAGCCGTGTATAAGCTGCCCCACCCTTGCCAACCTGTGCCTGAGCCCTGCGTGAGCCTGCCTCCCTCCACCCTCTCTTCTGCTGTTTTCCTCCTCTCCTCCAATCCTGGAGCAGCTGTGCTCAGAGGCAATGGGGTTGGGAGGGGCGGGAGAGGTGGGGCCGGGGAGGGTGCTTCATGCAGAACATTCCAGGAGCCCAAACCCATTCCAAGTAGCTGTTGGCGGCTGAGAGCAGCTGGAGGCCGGAGAGTGACTTGGCCTCACCAGGTTGGGGGCACTGTTGGCTCTTCACCCACACCCTGAAGTGCATTTTCTGCCTCCCAGAAGGGTTGCTCTGCCTGGGGAGAGGGGGCCCATCCATTTCAAGTAAAGGAGGACATGTGGGTGGGGGACAGGGAGGACATAAAGAGACCCCAGAGTCCAATACAGGACCTCAAAAGTTAGAATTTCAGAACTTTTATATTCAGACCTCTCCTCTGAGATCCCATTACACCCTGTTTCCACCCCACTCAGTGCTCTATCTCATGCTGAAATGTCCTTTAGCATCTCTGTCCTTACCAGGCTCTCTCACATGTTATACCCTTAGTACCTAGCACAAGATCTGGCACATAGTAGGTGCTCAATAAAGATGTACGACACAGCACCGCCCTAAAATCCCAGACGCCTCAGTACATCCATCGCCAAGGGTCTCAGAGCTGGAAGAATTTTCAGGAGGGTCATTTCTAGTCCCATGTCTTCCTTCATGCCAAGTCAGTCCCATCAAATTGTCTGGACAAACAGAACCGAACCCGAACACCCCCTGTTCCTGTTCCTCTGGGCAAGAAGTTCCAGTAACTTCTTCCCGTGTCACCACTGGGAAGATATTCTTATGTGGCCCTCATGTCTTTACTGATGCAGGCTTTCTTTCTTTCCTTCTTTCATGAAGAAGAGTACCTAGTCCCCATGTCCAGTAAAGTCACTGTCCTGTCTTCAGAGGTTGTGACCCGTATGATCACATGGAAAGGGGCAGCCTCCCCGTGCTGAGCCGGTGGAGGCTCTCGGCCATGCCCCTGACTGACTGTGGGCCTGCACAAGCCACTTAACATCCCTGAACGTCATCTCCCTGTCGGTAAAATGGGGTTCCTGTCACCTTCCTCTAAGAGCTTCTGTGATAATGAAACAAGATGATGTGTCCCATGACCACACGTGGTCTTGCCCTTGCCTGTTGAACCTCACTCTGTACCACACTCCACCTCGAGACCCCTTGTTCCAGCCTCCAACTCCTCCGTGTTCTCTGCCTCAATGACTTTGCAGTTCCTAGAAAAAAACATACTGTCGATTCCCAGGGCCTTTGCACATGCTCATTTCCTTCACATGGAAGGCTCTTCTCCCACCCCAGTCTCACCAAATTAACGTCATTCACCCTCACGTCTCACCTCTTCAAGCCAAGGTCAGGGTCTTTGCCATAAGGTCTCATAAAACAGCATCCTTTCCCTTCAGAATGCTTATCTCAATATGTAATTCTGACTGACCGTTCAATTCTGACTCTTGTCATGCATACGCTCCATGCAATTAGGAACCAATGTTTCTCCTCATCATTATATCCCCAGAGCTTGGCATTGTGCCTGGCACATAACAGGCACACGAAATATTTATTAAACGAATCAATAAATGACCAAATGAATGTAAAGCACCTTGAACAGAGCAGACTCCCCTAAAATATTCTTTTCCCCTAGCTGAGTAATTCTGCCTCTGACCATTTTTCCTCATAGCCATCTTTTTCTGAATTTCCCATCAAAATGTCAGCAGAGAAAGCAAGCAGAGCTTCAGAAGGTGTGCTTTAGTCTGATCCAGGAGGCAGCGCACGAGTAAGGAAAAACAGAGCTGGCTGCCCACAGCCTTGCTCCCTACCTCCTACCCCCCACCTCCCACTGCCCAGGCGACAACAGCAATTCCGACCCCCATGCTGGAATCCTAGGGCACTGTGCCTGGACACAGGAAGAAGGCTTTGAAACAGCCGCTCGACTAGGAGACAGGAGACGGGTAAGTCCAATGTTGGCCCTACTGTCTCCTGTGACCTTGAGTAGATGTGGCCACCCTTACCCTGCAACACGACCTCAGCTCCAGGGCTGAGAAAATGGTGGGTGTGGCAGGGCTGATCCCTAAGAACCTTCACCTTCTAACTGTGGATCCAGGACAGACAGGGGTAGGTCAGAGGGCTCGGGCTTGTAGGCTGAGAATCATTTGTGAGCACAATGGGCAGATCTGAGAGCTCAGTTCTGTAGATGCTCACTCCTCTGAAGTGTCACCCCAAAGTGGGAAACATAATAGGCAGGGCCTGACATGTCAGCCTAATCTACCTCAGACCTTCCTACCAGAGAGGGTTTGAGGTCCTACCAGTCTGTTGAAGTCAGCAACCAAGAGGAGAGTGCGGGTGGGCATCTGACACACACGAATGCTGGCTCCAGGCGCCCGCTTATTCTAGACTCCTGTCCCAGCTTCCCTTCCCTGTCTGGGACCAGCAGCCAGGAACACGCCGCAGCTCACCCTGTCCTAGAATTAGTTGCTGAGGATGCCCTGTTCTGCAACCCCCATGCAGCCCGGAGCCCAGTGTGGTTGCCTGAACTCTGCCTAGATGAGGGCAAAGCCTCATGAAAACTCCAGCCATCTTACCTGGGGGATGGCAGATTCAGAGGGGCACAGCCCATGCCCGTTTTGGGAGTAGAAAATCAAAGTGGTGAAGTGCAAAGGAAATCAGGAAGTGGGCTTAAGAAAACCAGATGGAACCTCCAAAGAAAACAGCCACATGAAACGAGGGCCCAGGTGAGAAGTCAGAACATCTGATACGTCGGAGCTGGAAGGTGCTCCAGCACCACCTTGTTCAAGCCCTCCTGGTAGAGATGGCTTGAACCACACCCAGATGCCACAAAACCACACACAAGCCACCCACGCCGGCAGCCCCTTAGTTCACCTGCTGCTGAGTCATCACTTGAATTCTGTCCCTAATAAGTCAAAGGCTTTCAACCAGATTACATCCCCTCTCTGCTTCCCCATGTACAGTGTGGAGCTCATCTAAATTAGGGGGTTAAGCCGAGACATAGACATGCTAACTCCTTGAAATTGTCAAAATTAGGTACATGATGTCGGGAGGCAGAGGGGTGGGTCTGTAGCTTTTCTGAAATCCCTGAAGGCATCTGAGATCCCAGAAAGACAGATGTCCTTCCATCTATGTTGATAAGAAACCAGACAAGGGCTTCAAGGGGGCAACACATGACTCTAAGACAGTGGCTCGGGACGGGGATGACCGTCCCCACCCCAGGGAGCATTTGCAATGTTAGAAACACTTTGATTGTCATGACTCGGTGGGTGCAGAGGCCAGGGATGCTTCTAAACATCTTGCAATTCCCAGGGCAGCCCCCACAAGTAATTGTCTGGCCCCAAATGTCAGTAGTGCCCAGGCTGAAAAACCCCGCTCTGAGCTCTACATGTGGCATACGTCCCGGAAATGCAGTAATGAGCCCCCTCTCTGCATGTGAGGGCCCTCGCCCTCCGAAGGGGCTTGCTGCACCCTAGGCAGACTGGTGGAAAAGCCACTGGGGGTGGCAGCAGCAGGAGGGGCATTTTGTCAGGAAGGTGGCACCACAGTAGCGCCTCGACACTGGTTGTGCCTGAACCAGCACTATAAGTTCCTCATTCAGGACTTGGGCGATGCCCAGGGTGACAGCTCATCACCAGGGGGTGAGGCCCAGGAGGCTATCGGCCTGATCACTCGAGACCTGATCAGCAAAGAGAGCTGCCCCCCAGCCAGCCAGATCAAGCTCTGTGTGAAAAGCCCTTCCCAGACCCGGACGGCAGGAAGCAATGCACAGCAAACCCACGCTTACCTTCAGAAAGCTCTGTCACCTCCTTCCCCTCACCCTCCTCTGAGGGAAGATGAGAAGAGAGGTGGGGAGGGAGGAGAAGCAGGAAAGAGGCAGAACATAAAGAAGAGAGGGAGAGCAAAAAGGGGAGACAGAGAGAGATCAGTTAACAGAGATTATTTCTTGAGAGAGAGAATTTGTTGAGAAAAGGGAGCTGGGAAAGCTGGGGTGAGGCCAGGGCAGAGGTGACGCTCCACAGTAGCACCCCGGGGTGGGGGATGAGGCCCACCCCGGCAGGACCTCGGGGCTCCAGGGTGGCAGTTTGAAGGCTTTACTCTCAGGAGCAGCAGGCCCTGGCCCGCACGGCTCCACGCGTCCGTCACAGCCCCTGCCCCAGGGTTTCTGCAGGACGTGTCTCAAGCAAGTGTGCTGACCGGGTGAGAGGCAGCCCCCGCGCCCTTCCCTCTGGTGACTCAGTGTCCCTGGCCATGCAGACGCCTCCTGAGTGGGAGGCTGTGCCAGACCGTGTGTCCGCGTGGGTCACACATGCATGCCACTGTGCTCCTACCTGGCAGGATGGACCTTCTGATGACTAAGGAAAAGAAGCCAAGTTGGTCCCTGGAGCCTCAGCCCAGACCTAAAACCAGACTAGGGAGCAAGTTTCTGGATCCAACCTGCTTAAAATGACCACTAAGGGCCCAGGACCCCCCGCCTGCTCTTCCCCTCACAGGAAGGAAAGGAGCTGGGAAATGTGACAGGGACGCAAAGGTGTGAGCCTGGGCTCTGTGTGTGTGTCTGCACGTGTGTGTGTTCGTGTGCATGTGCACAAGTGTCTGAACACTGGGGGAAAGGAGATACAGGCTTCTGGCAGGGACCTGACCAACTCCAAGCAAACTCAGGCCAGGACGCAGATCCCCAAGTCAGAGCATGCTGGAAGTGGCACTGACCCCACAAGTCAATGGGCAGGAAGGCTGCAAAGGGATCTATCCCCTTCAAACCCCCGACCTCAGCACGGGCACAAACCCAGGCTGCCACTTTCTTTTCAGGGGGGTTCTGAGAACCCACCACCTCGGCTTTGAGTAGATCCTGAGGTCCTACCCCAGACCACAGGGGTCCTCTGACCCCAAACGCCTCCCTCTGGCCTCCCCCACCATCCCCTTGCTAGCCAGAGTCACTCACCACCTGTGGGGTGCAACAGGATGTCCGCTGGGTTGTGGGGTTTCAGGCCCAGAGCAGACAGGGGTGTCTTGGCCAGACCTGGAGGGGAGCGCACTGTGCCAGAAAGAAGCGGGGAGACAAAGGGAGTGAGCCTTAGGGTGGGGGAGTGGAAGGGGGGAGGGGACGGAGGGGAGGCACCCATAAGTGAGGGCATATTGGGGAGGGGTGGGCACAAGAGAGAGATAGAAGAATGAGCCCCAGCCCTCGGGGGTGCTGCTACGGAAAAACCGTGTTTTTCCACGGTTTCAAGGGTAAAGGGAGTCAGGACGTGGTGCTCTTGTCCTGGCCCTTCCCCCAGCTTAAGA